CAAGCCTAATTGTTTCCCATAAAGACAGCCTCATTTTCATGTGTTTCTAGTTTCTTAAACCAGTTCTTATTTGGGCTCATATGGAAAGAGCTGCCTAAATCCAGGATCCATTCCTTAGCACTGTCAAATGTTGACACTGTAAGGACTTCAGGCTCATCCAATTGGTTCTTAATAGAGGCTAGGTTGCTGTTAGTGTTTCCCAGTTAGTGTTTCTTTATCCATTCAAAACAGTTTTCTTTATGTGCCTTATTTTATTATAGAAAAACATTTTCCTGTCTCTGTTTTAGGTTTGTTATTACCCTTCCTCTTCTTCTTGTTCCTAGACCCCTGATGATACTAGTTACTCTTTCTTGTTTGGCTGGATTCAGGCCTACTTCTTACAAACAAACTGTTACCCGACCTCTTTTGGACTTTCAGTTCTAGTTCCCTAGCTTTAAGTCCTGTTATTATTAAGTCCATGCTAGGTACAGTTCCAGAATACTGAAAGGCATTCTTTACTACTAGGTATTCATCAGTTAAAGAATTCAGTAAGAACATTGGTAAACTAGTGTCCCGTACTTCTTGGTAAGTTCCTTTAAGGATCAAGGTCATCTTTAAAAATTCATCTAAGTTATCCTCAATAGACCTAGCACTATCCATTTTGTAAGAAAATAAGGCATCATTCAAGAATGCAAGTTTGGTGCTGATTGTAATGCATACAAGGTTTCGAGTTTACCTCATAGGGCTAAAGGAGTTTCTAGCCCATCTACCTTCTGTAGAACACTGTCTGACAGGTTCATCACGATGAGATTGTACGCCACATCATTAATCTCATCCTTCTTCTTCAATTTCTCCTCTAGCGACTTCATCGCGTCCTTTTCTAGTGTAATCCCCACCTTGTTGTGGGAGAGAAGCACTTTCATCTTCTTCTTCCAATTGTTGAAATCTATCTTTCTGTCGTATTATGTTATTTCCAATCGAATAGTGGTCATCGTGTAAGTGTTTGTGTTGTGTTTAGGAATTGTCTTTGTTTCAAGAAACCCTAATTGAAACCCTAGACAGTAGCGATGAAAAGATTCCTATGAGTTTACAAAAAAAACCCCAAATCTTCAAGGAACCTCTCAAATCGATGATTTAACACCTTGAATGTTTAATCCGAGAACTCTAGATCACTAAGGAATGACTCAATTTGAAAAGTCCCAAATTTTGACAAACCCTAGAATTTCCAGAGAACTTTAGATCAATCTATGATTCAACGAATCAATCAATCCTAACGCCTTTAGGCTCTGATACCACTGTTATACCTCAATCGAATTAATCAAACACAAACACACAACAAATTAAGAACAATCACAACACCAAAATTATTGTGGTTCACTTATCCAAATTGGATAAGCTACATCCACGTTGAGCTTCGGAAATGGGTAAGCCCGCTGCACTATTTGTTGAGATCAAGATCCAACAAGATCAATTACAACCGAATATCACACTCTCTACAGTTTACAATAAATCATCTCAGCAACTTAACCCTAGGGCATCTCACCAAGAAACCTAAGAATGAGAGCAAGAATACCCTCCCAGAATGACTATCCTAATCACTCGAACAACCAAAGTTCCAAAGATTTCTCACACACGAATAAACCCTAATAAAGAGCAATTTCTATTCAATAGAGACAATAATCGCAGAGCACCAAAATCTGACTGTTCAAGCGCTTATATTCCATTAACCAATTTGAAGGACTTTAGCGTTGGATCAACGACTAGGATCCAACACAAATTAGCTCAAAACGGCAGCGTTCCTTAATCCCCCAAAGTGACACTGTTTCAGTCTTCACTTCAACAAAAGGTTAATAAGGCAAGTTCTTATTGTATAAGGACTTGATTACTATCGTTATTACAAGGACTCCAAAGAGGCCTAGCCACGCTAGATATATACTTGTTATTTGTTTGCCATGTTAAATTAAATTAAATTTGATTTTATTATTATTTATTTTAAGGAATTGTAGCTGCCGACAGATTTTTCCAGGGTTATAAATATTTCAAAATTTATATCCATTAATCTAACTTGCTAATTCTCTAACCTCCTCATTCTTTGAATCCCCATAATAAGTTGCTTGACTCCACCCCTGGTTCTTGCCTCTTACATGTTGAAAATAATATAAATTAATTGTCATCCAACTTTTAACTCTTAACATCTACTAACTCTATTGGTTATTTTGCTTATGTACTCTATAGTCTATATGCAATCACAAGTAAAAATGAAAATAAATAAGTTTAAAATATTGTGAAGGTATGAGAGAAAAAGAGAAGTAGTGGTTATATGAATTGAGACTTCTTCATGAAATAAACTAAAAGGTTTTTATTCTTAAGAATACAATTAGAAGGATATTAACAACATTTTCTATGAGCCCCCACTGACCCCTTGGTGTCTCCGTCCCTACTCTTGATAAAGCTAGTGCGTCCAATCTGGAGATCGATCATTGTATTGGAGACTAGTTGGCAGACTGATCGAGGTACTATAACCAAGGTTGTATAAGAACTTGATTGATATTGTTATTACAAGGACTCCAAAAAGGCCCATACAAAGTAGATGAGTAATACTACACCAACAATCTTTTCTCAAAAACTTTCTCTCACAACCTAGACGTTGTAGGTTGCAATTGGTCAACTCGCAATTAATTAGTGAGACCCATTGTGAATTGACCAATTATGAACTGTCACATCAGGGTTGTGAGAGAAAGTTTGTGAGAAATAGTTGTTGGTATAGTATTATTCCTAGGTAGATAGTTTTCCTTTGGGTGGCCATGGCCCCATGCCCAGTGAGGGCTACAAAATATTTCAACTTTACATAGTAAACTATTAATTTAGTCCTCATAAATTCAAGTATCCTTTGGGCCCCCTCAAGTTTTGAGCTTAAACTATATATATCCCCCATAAATGTAACTTCCTACTCTGACCCCCTTATTCATTAAATATTACATTTTGACCCTCTAGAATAAGTTCCTTGGCTTCATCCCTGGTTCTTGCCACTTATGTGTTGAAAACAATAGTTTACTCATATATATTCTAAAGGCACATGTTAATAAGCTTCGTTTCAATGAATGTGTTTATGTAAATATGCACTTAGGTTTTGAGTTTTTATAAGGAAATGCGACTTTTACGTACCTCTATATATGTAATGTAGGGTTAATATTTCTCATCAAACGAGCTTAGATCTAGTTAACATGTAACATGTTAATGCGTATTCTAAACACGTATGTTAAAAATAGTTCTTATAGATCACATGTCAAAGATTATAAATTGTTTTTATTCATTTTTAGATGGTAAGATCTTGTTCTTGTAGTTAGCGTGTGTTCTAAAGATACATATATACTATATTAAATCATTTCTCGTCAAATCATTTCGGATTTGAGGAATATATAACACAATAACGCATATCCTAATCAAGCACACGTGTTAAAAGAATAATTCTCGTAAATTGTCAAAGAATGTAAATTATTTTTGTTCAACTTTAAACGGTAAACTATATACTTACTAAATCAAGTCAGATTCATTTAAAATAAAACACGATAACACGTATAAATTCTAAGAACACACGTTAACTCCAGGAATCTCATTTCAATGAACACATGTTTATGTAAGCATGCACTTGAGTTTCAAGTTCGTGATCAAGAAATGCATAAGAAAAGAAACACACATCTAATACATAATCTATGATCATGTTTATTTTGAAAGAAAATGAAATGCAATGTTTGACTTTGATCATGTTTATTAAATATAAGATCAGAAAATGAATGAAATATATTCAAAGAATATTCATAACTTGTTTAAATCAAGAAATGTCAGTAGCTCTTATGGGTTGTATCAAAAACATGGCTGGCTGGGGCTGGCTAGAATTAATATTTGAAGAGATAGTGTGGCAATCATGATCCTACTGCAAATCTGCAAACTAACTTAATTCCATTCAACCCTTTTAATTTCCAAGAACCTTCATCTTCATAATCATCACTTGAGTTGTGCTAGCTTCCTCTGTTAATTTTATTTATTTCTATTTATACTTTTTTTTTTTTTTTTTTTTTGGTAGACAAAGGTGTTTGGGTCAATTTTCACGTATCTCAACAAATTTTCTGGGGTCTTAAAGTTTTCATCTAATCTCTTGAGACCTTGAAATTAAATATCGGATAAATTCCTCCGGTGGTCACTCCTATTAGCAATTAAATTCAAAATCTCTTGAATAATACACCCAAGAGTCTCTATCATCCGATCCGATTACTTAAGGGTAGGTTTTTTTTTTTTTTTTATTTGAAAATTGTGCTCTATTTGTACTTTGATTTCAGTTAGGTTATGTTAATTTGTACTCCATCTCTTACATGCAAGGCTATGCAGAAGATTTTTTCTTGAATTTTTGTCAAGTGCATTGAATATATATATATATATATATATAGTGTGTGTGTGTGTGTGTATGTGTGAAGTTTTGACTTTAAAAATTATTTCGTAGAAATAAGAAGGGTTCGGTAATTTTTTGGTATTTTGTCAAAATGCACTAAAAAAAATTTTTTTTTTTTTTTTAAATTGTATTTTTGAGATTTGTGAATGTGTGCAACATCATTTTCCTAAAACAATAAATGAAAGAAAAATAGACTCATTTGAGAATAACAGAGGTATTAATATATATAGTGGATAAAATATTTTCTTTAAATAATTTTATAATCAAATTAAAATAGATTATAAAATTATCTGATAAATAAAATGAACCAATTTAAATGTGTCTTTGGGTTTCGACAAATGAATCTTGAAAATAGAAAAGCAACCAAAAATTATTATTATTAAATTCTTATGTAGAATTGGACGAGCTGCTGCTTGAAAGTCGAAGCGAAGGTTGACTTGCCAGAATCGATTGGTGCCTGAAGGAAATTTTCTGGGCAAGGTTGCAGTTATACAAGTTCTGCAGAATTTCCTGCTAGAGTGCCAGAAAATTCTGCTAGTTAGATCCTGAAATGGTCCAAAATGCGACCGTGAAATTGATGTAAACTCGAGATGATAATTTATGATTTTTGAAACATCTTTGCTCAAAGCATTATAAGAAAAATGTAGATTACTCCAAGAAGGTAGTTGGTCAATAGTTACAATATTTCACTTGCTTTTTCTTCTAAACTAATTATCTGTGAGACTGATCTTCCCGCAACATATGTATTGCTTTCGACAATCAATAATTTCCAATACCTGAGATGTAGAATCAGATATTAGCTGAATCAAAAGACACAGAATCATCAAGAAACATGAATAACTAGATGTGACAAATTATGCCTGGAAGTTGTACCTTCACAGTATGGTGAAGATGCTGAAGAAGAATATTGATCTATAATTTGAGTTTGTTTTTCCGCATTATTATACGTATATTCCTAATCTGAGCCCTTTCAGTTCTGTTTCCACCATCCATGGTGGCCTACTGGGAGAAGAAAACAAGTGACAATTAAAACCAATAAGAAAATAGGTAAATAGATGAACAAAGAGTTCAACAACAGGAGAAGAAGCATTACTTGTTCATTACGAAGTTTATTGTTCCTTGCGCAGCACGCTCAAGCAGAACTTCCCTTGCCTCGATTGCAATACCTTCAGGCTGCAGAAATTTTTTTTTATAAATTATCATAAAATTTAAAATTAACATTTCTGACAGTAAAATTTTCATGCCATTGTGCATACCTCTTCTGGAAACCAAACCCCTGGCTGTGTGACTCCCTCAAGAAGCGCAAGGGCAAAAGCAGCTGTAGCAGTTCCCACGGATCTGAAACAAATGCAAACATCTTGCTTAAAACATCCTATAATGTCTTCCAGAATCTATTCGTAACTTATGAACTAGTATAGCACACAATATAATTTATTGATTTTGAGGGAAGAGCTCTACTGAACATAAATTGTAGAAACGAAGACGAAACAGCTTACCCAGAAAGAAAGCCTCCTGTGACTAAATATACCAACTGTATTGCGTCCACCTGAGCATTCCAAGTCAATCTGCCAGTAAAAAGAAGAATTAGCAAAGGGACTTGTATTACACTGAACCCTGAGTGGATATCGTACTTTCATTTCAAGAAAATTAGAGAATAATAATAAAAATAAAAGTAAGTTAATATTGTAATCTCACCCTCATGGATACATGTTCTCCAGCGATCCCATCGAATACTCGGACTACAGGTCAAACAACTGAACCAACTGTTGGACTTTGTTTCGGTCTCTCAGATACTCCCGAAATATTGAACCAAAACTAAAGTTCTTATCCAGAGGAGCTAAACAAACAGCTACTCATTTAAACAGATGCTTGATCAAATCAATAATCGATGCAGCATTTGTTTCTTAGATTTTGCTACCAAGTTCCTGATAGGAACAGTTACATGGAATAAGTTCCAGAAGATTTTTTTCTATTAAATGTGCATGTGTCAGTTGTAATTTAAATTTTTTTAGGAATTAATCAATTACCAAATCATTAAATGATGCTCGGAACATTACATATGATATGACCACTAGTTATGCTTCCCCAGTAGCTTCCATAATATATGGGCATTATAATAACATATAACTCAATAACAAGCCACTTGAAAAATCTAATAATCTGCCAATTCAAGCTCTGGGTAAAGTAACTGCATACAGGAGAAAGAAGCTTTGTCATGGCAACCATTCCCAAATTCCAGAAGAATGGTGCGGTTCCCAATTGAGCACTGACAGTTGGTACTCCTAGGATTTCATGAGCACTTCGCACCTCTGGTAAATTCCTGAAAATAAATGATTCAGTTGAATTTAACTGTTGCAGGAAATAAAGCAATTTCAAGATTCACAATTTTTCAATCAAGTGGCTACACCAAAACAAATGGCTAAATGTAAATGACATTCATCAAAAGCTACGCATTAACAATAGCATGAATTCTTATAGTAAAGGTTGACTCAGGGATCAAAAACCTCCAATTTTATTTTAATCCAGCTCAAGAAAATAAGCAATCTATCAACTCTCTGACATTCTATATACTTTAAGGAACATAATTGGTGAATCAATACATTTAGGTCACTTATATCAATCTATTCTTCACATGACAGTAGTAACTGTTATATATTTATCAGTTCTCTATGCTAATTTAGCCATGAGAATTTATCATGGTATTTAAAAAAAAAAATAATAATTATCCATACTGTGAGGAATATTGCTTGACTTACCCTGAATTTTGCTAATATACAAAAAAGTCGCGCTGGTTTTGAAATTGGTTAAAAGCCTCACATAAATTTATGAAAACTGTAAAGTTTCTCAAATCATCAGAGAAATCTTTCCCACTAGTTTTGAAATCAACTGCTTTCCTATGAACTTACAATAGAAAGACATCTTTTCTTCCAATTCATTTTCCAAAATCAACATTGATCATTCCACTATACGGCTTCAGTTTGACCTTTTCTGCTGCTTGGATATTGCACCATCATGGTTAGATATCATATAAGTAGAACAAATGCGCATAGATAATTCACAATATGCCCTTGAAACTGACCTTTACTATATGCAACAACTTCCTTTCCAAGAAGTAAAAAACTAGTAGCTAACATTGTAGGACCAGCACCACCGGTGCCTGCTGTATAATAGCTGAATATGAGAAGAGCATATTTGCACATAAATCATATATACAATGACAAAGACAGGAGGAAAGCAAGCTATTTAAAAGTTTTGTGAGGGAAATGCATGGATACTCCTTTGGTTTTGGCTCCCAAAGCTTGTATGCATGATTATGAAACTAGCTTGAACCCAAAAGCTTGAACTAATGGGTAACGAGCCAACTCCTTGTATATAAATCCTTCAGTTGTTCTACTCCATAGGGCGTTTACTGCTCACATAGTTATCTTATATTCATATGACATGATGATTATTGCTCAAACCTCACTCCTTTACTGAATTCCTCCACTCCATCCCCAAACAACCTTTCCCTACAAATATTAAAATATTCCTAAGAGGAAATTCATAAGTTGATTGCAATCCTTAGTTGTTGGAGTTTAAATAAGATTCAGAAGTGTAAACTTATAGGTTTTATGGTTACTAAACCTGGTGTTTGAAATAGATTTGACTAAAAGGTCTTAAAGCAGGTTCATTTAACTAAAAATGAAAAAAAGAAAGATAATTACGAATGTTCTCAACATTTTTGTTGATGGGGTTCACAAAATTATAAAAAAGAAATGCAAAAAATCAGAATAAACTATAAAATGTCAATCATTAGTTGAAACTAATTCAGCAAGGGGAGTGATACTGGAGAGTGGATAAACAATTGGCAGGTATAATCACCTTAGCCTCTCTGGCTCTCCCTTGCTTTCATCTCTCGCAGCACGAACTAGCTCTGCAGCCATCGCTGCCATGAAAAGTGTAGCACTTATATATGTGAGTAAAAATCTCAAAAAGCCAGGTAAGATTACCAACATAGATAATGGCAACAATTCTGTGGAGCTTACATGTTACAATAATGAATCTTTTGCTCTTCCATTTGGTTACCTCTATTCTAATTTTATCTTAGATTTATATGGCCAGATGTGCACAATGCAGAACAAAAATATTCATAGTAGCACCATTGCTCACTCCGGGATAGATTCCGCCAGTAGTTATTGCTGGAACATTTGCAGATATTGCTCTATCCTTCAAGGATTTTGCAAGCAATGCATAGCTGGTATCATCACAAACGTCCAAATATGCCTTCTGTTGGGAGATAGAACAAACACTTCATGAGACAACATCTTGGTTAAATTGTAGAGTCGTAAACATGCTAATTATTGTCACATAGATGAGAGAATGAAAACATAAAAGAAAAGAAAATTTCACATAATATTTACCTTTCCTCACCTTGGTCTCTATAGCAGCTTCCAGTACATTGCAATTCTCTGACTGTTGAAAAGGCCCTGCAGCATGGACTAACAGATCCACATCTGCAGAAGAACATTTATAGTATTTGCATGATATTATTACAAAATTGATTGCCATGGACACAATAAGGTGTATGCATGTACAAGAATTCTCAAATGCGAATATCAACACATTTTTAGTATCCAAACCTCAACTTCCTTCTGAAATAGATCTTGAATATATAAATTGTTATTGAACTCATTTGCATAAGGAACTGATAGGAATTCACAAATTTTTGTATTTTAACAAACTCATTTCAGAAAAATTTTGAAGTCTGATTTTAAAAAAATGGAAACGTCTGCCTGAGCGAAAGAGAAGGACTTTGCACCTCTTAAAGCAGTTTCCAATGAATCCACATTATCAATGTTAACTTCAGCAAGCTCAGAATTCTTCCCCAATTTATCCACCATTGCAGCACCTTTTTCCCTGCCATAACACAAAATCCTTCAGCTGCCATCTCAATTAACAACATGTTTCTCTTTCTCAATTCAATTCTTTAATAAAAACATTAAAAAATTAAAATTTTGACACTCACAAAATACATTTAAACCTAAACAAAACAGCAACACGAACACGGAACACGTCCTACAAGCTCTAAACTTCATCAATTTCCAATCTTTCTTCCATTTTCTGGGAAACCAAACACAGAAAAGAAAAGGGTAGTCTTAATTTCACCTGTTTCGACAGCTAAAAACGATCTGGAGTTGAGGCGAGAGCTTGGAGAGAGCAACGGCAGTGGAACCTCCAACGCGGCCAGTGCCTCCCAAAACCAAAACGCGGGCGTTTCGGGTCTTCTCCTGGAGTTGAGGTCTATCGATTAAGGTCTCTTTGACGCTGGCACAGGCCATTACTGAGGTAGAATTCAAATTAAGAGGAGCTGGCGCCATGGCTGTGAGCTCAGTGTTCTTCTATGCCTTGCAAAATTTTCTTATCTAATTAACGGTTTATAGTGGTGATGACGTGGCCCAATGAAGTCTCTGGTGACGTGGCTGAGTTTTGTGCCATTGAAAAATAGCCGTAAATTAAAGGAAATTAGTGTAAATAGACATATTTTTATGTTATATATTTTTTTTTTCTTGTTGTTATAATTTAGTTAAAAAATCATTTTTGAATGTAGCCTTTATTTGTTGACATGAGGTATCCCGTGTTCAACTTAAACAGTTCGTATATGTTATACCTAATAATTGTCGAATCATTCCACATAAAGTTATGTTAAAATCCAACTTTAAGCTAAATCTTTTAAATTCTTTTTAAGATTTTCTCTTTCGATTAATGGAATAAGTTTTCGAAAAGGTTTTGTTTATGTCCTTCCTTTAAGCTTTTCTTAATTTATTTTGCTCTTGCTAAAATTTTCTTCTTTTTTTGGGGGGGGGTTTCTTGCAAGAGGTTCGTAAGGAAATTTCATATTAATATGGTTTGTTTTACTTTTAAAATGTAATAATGATAAAAGGAAAAGAAAAAATAGGGGCCTCTAATGGGCCCTTCAACCTCAAAGGGCCGAGGCTTAGTCCTAAGCCAGAGGATCCAGCCCATCTCGACACAGTTTCATTTGGGTTCATACCCTAAATATTTATATAATAATGCTACAAACACCGATTTTTTATACCAAATTTTTGTACCGAAGGACGTGCATCTAATCAGACGCAACCACTTTGGAGACAAAACACGTTTTCCGTGAATGAATGGTCATCAACAATTATGGATAGCCGTCCATGTTCATCACAAATGGACAACCGTCTACCAATCTCGTACAAAAATAACAATGGACTATTGTCCATATTATATGGATGGGAGTCCATTTCCTATGGACGAGCGTCTATCTCGAATGGACCCCCGTCAATAAATTTTTAAAAATATAATAATGGATGTTTGTCAATACGATGTGGATGCGTGTCCATTGAATATGGACGATTGTCCATTGGCAAATAAAAAAATGTTATTTGCCTCGTACAGATACCAAGGTTTAAGTGATGGAAATTATTACTGATTTATGTTGTTTTTTTTATTTTTGGCAGTTGAACAAACTATTATTTTGTTGGTGTATTGATTATTTTGAATATTTTAGTTTTGCTTCTCATTTAGATTACAGACATATTCTTATGCTGGTAAATGGTATATTGATTTATTTTGATTTTGCAGGGCCAGCAGTGAATTTCGTGTAAATTTTAAGTATTAATATCGATCTCTTTATTAATTTACCCAATAACTTAAACTTTGGAATCAGGCGGTTATTCAACACTATATTATTTAAATACCCATTNGTGGACAACCGTCTACCAATCTCGTACAAAAATAACAATGGACGAGAGTCTATTTCCTATGGACGGGCATCTACCTCGAATGGACGCCCGTCCATAAATTTTTTAAAATATAATAATAGATGTCCGTCTGATATGGACGGGTGTCCATTGAATATGGATGAATGTCCATTGGTAAATAAAAAATTTTATTTGCCTTGTACAGATACCAAGGTTTAAGTGATGGAAATTATTACTGATTTATGTTGTTCTTTTGGATTTTTGGCAGTTGAACAGACTATTATTTTGTTGGTGTATTGATTATTTTGAATACTTTAGTTTTGCTTCTCATTTAGACTACAGACATATTCTTATGTTGGTAAATGGTATATTGATTTATTTTGATTTTGTAGGGCCAGCAGTGAATTTCGTGTAAAACAAAAGCATTTTTTGACTTCTAAAGTCTAAAGCTTTGTATTTCCCCATATCGGAGACCAAAAAAAACTCATACACTTTTTAGTATGGTATTATTATTATTATTGAAAATGGACACATGTCCATATAATATGGACCAACGTCCACCCTTGTTCTTTTATAATTTAAATTATGAATGAGCATCCATTCGAGGTGGACGCCCATCTATAGGAAATGGACTCTTGTCCACATTATTATTTCTATATAAGAATTTGTTTAGATTAATGGATAGTCGTCCATTTGTAATGCACGACCGTCCATAAAATATCGATGTAAGAATTCATTCAGATTAATGGATGTCACGTACATCGGTGTAAAAATTCAGTGTAAATTATCGATGTCCGTAGCATTATTCATATCTATAAGACCCATATTTGATAATCATTTAAAACATATTGTAATAGAGCTCTAAAATGGCACAACTTTCACCGAGACTCGTTGCATTTTCAGCGAGGTATATATGAAATATTCTGATGACATTCATGGCGTCGAAACAGATGTTATCGGTACATAACATTTTTCTTGTCGTGCTTGCTCCTGGTAGAACCCATAACCCTCAGCCAGTAAATTTTGGTCCTTGTTTTTCAGGTTTGGATCATTTTTAATTTTTAAGGTTAGGCACCAGGAAGCTTATCCTGAACTGACACCGGACACACAAGATCAGCCAAAGACTTTTCTTCATCGTCCAGAAATTCAAAGGGAAATTCTAAAAAACTTTACCACTAATTATGGCAGATTACTTGATTCACTGAATTTGATTAGCTGTCGAATCCTGATGGGGCGTTTGGTAAGGGTTATGTGAAATTACTGGAGGTTAAGTCATCTTATATTACTTGATTACCATGTTTGGTTGTCAAGTAATATAATATATCGGTAATCTTCAGATACCAATAGTGGTTACTAGTGGTAATATTGGAGGTAATCTAATTACCTCCATTTTCTTAGATATTCTAAGATTACCAGGTTTATCTTTTTTTGTTACAATTTTATCCCTTATTAATAAAAGTTTTGGACAATAATGCCCCTATTTTAAAATAAATTTACATTAATATCCTATTTCAATTTTACCCTTGTTTAATTAAAATTTTGGATAATAATGCCTTTATATTTAAAACAATTTACAAACCACCACTGTCACCCAACCACCACCACCATTGCCACCCAGCCACCACCGCCAATAGTAGGCCAACCACCACGGACTACCATGGGAAAGTGGTCGAAGTCCCTAAAAAAGAATGAGATTGGGTGGAAGGCTTCGGGAGGCTTCGATATGGCCATTTTCGGCCATATTGATGGTCTAAAATAGCCATATCAGGCCAGATTTGGCCGAAAATTGCCAGATCTATTCTGCCCAGATCTGGCCTGATATGGCCATTTTCGGCTATAAATATGGCCAGAAACTGCCATATCGGAGCCTCTTGGCATGGTAAGCTACTCACGGGGACTTTCAGAGACTGCCGACAGTGGTTTGCGGTGGCGGTAGGAGGTGGGGGTGATTTCATCATAAATTAAAGTTTTATATAAGCCTGGATGTTTTAGCTAAATCTGAAATATTGGGGGCTAAATAAAATTATTCAAAAATTAATAATAAAAATAATATTATATTAATATTTAAAAAAGGGACAATTTAGTAATTTAAATAGCATACCCACCAATTTATTCCCGGTAACCAAACATATTAATATAATATACCCACCAACAAACCAAACACAGTTTCTTAAAGATTTCCAGTAATCTTCAAGGTAATCTATCTTTCTAGTAATTCAACATTCCCAATAATCTAACATTCCTGAACTAAACGCCCCTGAGTATTAATGTTTATCCCTCAAGGTCTTGGCTTTATTCATATTAATATATCTTTTGAAAAGTCTTGTTGTGATCATAAATTTCAGTTGAGTAATTGACCAGGAAATAATTTTGTAGCTCATTAGTCAAGGCTAAGGTTTAAAATAATTTATCTCTTCAATCTATATATAGGAGTATCAGGTCCTTCTAATAAATTAAGTTTGGTTCTTATTAGTCTGATTCATGGCTTTCTCTTATTCTGCAAATGAAAAAAATCCTTTCGGTGTTGCAATGTTGTTGCTTTTCGGATTATTGATGTCTCATATAGGAGTATCAGGTCCTTCTAATCTCTCTCCCTCACCAATATTATAACATTATCTGTATTTAATTGTACGGGATTATTTAACATGGTGTTTACACGTGTATTTAATCGTCCATTTAGTTTGTTTATAAAGCTTATATATGTAGTATTATTCATGTATATTTTAGTTAGTTTTTACTATAACACAATTTTGTCAACTGTTTTGAATGTCAAATGCACTTCTAGATTTTTATAAATAGCATTACAAACTCAAAAGCACTTTGAAATTCTTTTGCAAGTGCTGTAGGCGTATGCTATGGAAAATGCTAACAATGTCCATCACAGGCTCAAGTTGTGAGTCTCTTCAAAGCAAACAAGATTGGGAAGATGAGAATTTATGATCCAGATAAGCAACCCTCAGGCCCTGAAAGGATCCACATTGATATTGTTAAATGGAAGCCTGAAACAGCGTCTTTTGAGTAACAATAATACGGCATCGTTTTAGGCATATTAACTGGGACAAATTCAGACCACAGGATGCACTCCAGATCTAACAGCCAGGATCAACCACGAAGTCAATCATATATAAACACACTTTCGTTCAGATTTGGTGAGAGAGAGATAACGTTAGGGTTTCTGGGTTTGCACTTCTCTGTGTTAGGGTTAGATTATTTTCAGATTGTGAGTTAATCAGTCGAGTGATTAAGGGGTTTAATCTTCAGGTGATAGTGTTGTTCTCTCGGGTTAGGGATATTCAGAGAGTATCTTGTAAGGCTGGTTGCTGTTGTACGTGGTAGATCTGGTGAGTGTCGAATCTGTGTAATCTGACTATTTCTAATAATCGAAGTGTAGCAAGTCATTCCGTTCTTGAGCTCAACATGGATGTAACTTATCTATAAAGGATAAGTGAACCACGGTAATCGTGGCTGTCTGTGTGTTTGATCTTGTGGTGTTTTCTTGTTTCTTGGTGTGATTGTTTTGTGTTGGTGTATAGATCAGTATAAGTTTCGGTTTAACAGTGTATCAGAGCCATTTCTTGAAAGTGAATTCATTTTTACAAATTAGGGTTTCGTAAAAAAATTAGGGTTCTTCTGAGAAATTGGGGT